TCCAGGCAAAGTATGCTCCCTGTGGGATATCACCATTGAGACACGAGTTTACAACATAAATGGTTGCGTGTTGAATAGAGAATAAACGGTGATGAAAAGGTTGTGATTGATATTTATTTGTTGTACCGATGGGTCTGACTGAAATAAGTATGGTCTGTCTTCATCCCAACCGGCAATGAGAAGAGAGACTCCAAATGGCCGCACACCTCTACAAAACATGACACTAAATTACCACAAGAGCTCTAATTAAAGTAAAGTATAATAAAAGATAAAAAGAAGTGAACGTACCCTGACTGTGTGTATTCTTGCATAACAGAAGCCACTCTCTGTACCAGCTGGCCAGTGGGGATTGGCTCTTGGTATACCAGGAAATACTGCTGCGCCAGCTTTCTTGCTCTTCTGACCAGCACCCTGTCAAGAGAGATCATTCCCTACAGACCATCTAGATCATAGCAACTTAAGCTGTCAGTGAGATAGCCAAAGGAAGATATTTTGAGGAATGTTAGTAACCTAACAGTACTGTTCTTTTTTTTTTTTTTGTAAATGGAATTTATAAACCAAAAATGTTTGGTTACCAACATTTTTCAAAATATCTTAGTCCGTTATATAGGTTAATTGGAACAGCATGGGGGAAGTAAATAATGACAGAATTTCTATTTATGGGTGGACTTTTCCTTTAAGAGTTTCATTTTTAGAACAAATCAGCCATCCATTTTAAATAAATACTGCACTGTTATTTCATACCTGTAGTCCGGACCCATTCCACTGTACACCATGCCAATGTGTTTGGTTATTGGCTCAACTTTGTGCACGCTCTGTTCATCATACAGTATGGACTTCTGTTTCTTCTCAGTTGCCAGCACAACTCCATTTGATGCTGCAAAATGACAAAAGATCCTTCAAAACAAATGTACGATTGAAGTGCAGCATACCTCAGGGATGCAAACTCAGCACGGGTTAAAAAGGTAACAAAGACTGATCTATATATAAACATACCTTTGATTCCTACAGATGGAGCACCGGCTGCTACAGCCGCCAGAGCATATTCAATCTGCACCAGTTTGCCAGAGGGGCTGTGTTGAAGAAAAAAAATGCATTGTTTTACAGAAATACATTAGAAATGTATCTAAACTGAAGCTGAATGTATAACTTATTTTCGACCAATTCAGATGTACATAATTTTGATTTTAAATCATTTAAATTAAATTAAATTATTTTAATAATTTCAAACTGACAGATTTTTAGCTTTAACAAAAGCTTCATACTAACTTTTACATACTTTTTTATATTAGGTCACTGAATATTGTACAAACCACAAAAGATTAATGGATTAAAAATGAATAATATTCGCCACAAAATCTGTAGTAAAACATGACAATAAATAACTTCAGTAAAAAAAAGAATGCACTAATAGAGAAAAAGGAACAAAAGTCATAAAGCTCCGTTGTAACTAACATCGTGACACTGCATCTCTGATGTGACACAATTAAGTACGCGTAACGCACATGTCGAACAAAACACAACTATTTTCAGTGAATGCAAGCAACAAAAGATATATAATGAAATATTACAGCCACCTATCAATCAATAATGGACATAATTACCTAAATGTTGTGAGAGAAAAACTGTATCCTCGTTCTGCCATGTTTGTCTTTAGCCACGGAAGTACATCAAAACAACTTCCGACACCTTTTTGTGAACACACTCGTCAAAATAAAAGTGTACAAACTGAACAGATAACAGATCACTCTTTCTGTATCAAATACATTTAATTGTTTCGTACGTTTCTGAGTAATACAATTATATATATAAAAAAACACGACTATTGTATTAGCATGAACACAAATTTGATTTAAAACAACTATATTTCTCATACTTTAAAATGTACATATTCTGCGAAGATTCAGAAATGTGTAAATACAATATGTAGATTGTGGCAGAAACTCCCTAGCATTGTGGTCATAGATATGTATACATATTATTATCTATGATTGTAGTAGTGAGTATTTCCATCGCATTAGCATATATGTGGCCAGCAGATGGCCTCAGTGGTGTTTCGAGCGCTTCGAACTAGAAAGTCATTTTTCGAATCAACTGATTCTTTTGATTGACAGATTCAGACAGCTCCGTTTCTCCCATTATCACTACACACAGAGACTATATTACAACATTTATTTAGCCTCGTTCATTTTTGTTTGAGAATACTCCAAAACATCTTCAAAACAAAGTGATACATACAATTAAAATAAATAAAAGTACTCAATCAACTTATCCATCTCGGACCTGAACAGGATAATTTATTTAAATCATCATCATCTTATCAGTTTGAGTAGTTGAGGAAAACCTTTATTATGTAATTTAAGTGCTTCTGACGGAAGTCAGAGTCGCGTCAGTTGAGCTTCACGTCCTAGCGTGTCTTAACGCCGAGGTATTGTCCCTAAATATTGATCAATCTACCACATTTCACCTTATAAATATCATGTTTGTTGTTTGAAACTGTTTATGGTTAATAATGATGATTTTTAATCTGGGCCGTTTTGTCCACTACACGGTTTAGATCAGTTTTGAATAAGGCGGATGAGCTACTAGCTAATGCGGTCTCTATATTGTGATTTTAGTTTGTTATAAAACGGGTTTCTCTTCCTGGGGAAGACACTTGTCGTCATTTATACATTTCTTAACACGTATTATACATCGATTATAAATCTGTATAACATTTTAACGTTTATATCGTTACGATGGTTTATTTTCTGATAAACCCTGTTGTCAGATTGGTCCTATATATTTCACTCGTGTAAATCAGATAGTTATCGCTTTTAGGCATATTTTAAAGGGATAATTCAACCAAATATGACAATTCTGTCATAATTTACTCGTCTACTTGTTGTTTCAAACCTTTATGACTTTCCTCAGTCTGCTGCCAATCACTTTATGGAACGAAAGACACAATGAAAGCTGACCGAGCTTGTCTTCTTGAGTGAGTCGGTATGCCTGATTTCAGAGAAGGCCATGGCTCGTGGGCAGCAGAAGATCCAGTCTCAACAGAAGAACGCAAAGAAAGCAGCTGAGAAGAAGAAAGCTCAAGGAGCGGATCAGAAGACTGCAGCCAAAGCAGCTCTGGTCCACACATGTCCTGTCTGTAAGGTGAGAAATTGATGTGACTTAAGTTACGGCCGGAAGGTCACTGGTTTGAGCCGCTGTACCTCAAACTTCTCTTAACGTCTTAAGGTATGTTGTTATTCCTTTTATAGACACAGATGCCAGACCCCAAGACCTTTAAACAGCATTTTGAAAGCAAACACCCAAAATCTCCTATGCCCCCTGAGCTGGTGGATGTTCAAGCCTAAAGGACACAAGAAACCAACATAGACCTAAAACAGGGGTGAGTCTAATACAGGCATCAGAATCAAGCCTAAAATAAACCGACAAAATGTATGTACACCTGTCAATATGGCTGTGTAGTCATCTCATAATTATGGTCCAATTTTCAGACCCTGAGGAATGAAACCTGATTCGACTCAGCCGACTGACTCGACTTGCTGTATTTCACAAACATAGACTGTGGACCATGTGGACACAATGACAAGGAGATCTTAGGACGGACTCAAGCACACCAGCACAAATATATATATATATATATATATTTTTATATTTTTTATATGTGCATATTTCTTTCATCTTTTCAAAGTGTGCTGTGACCTAACTGTCTCATTGCCATGTGCTTAAACTCGCCATATTTATTCACCACTTTCCCAATACCCCGTGGCACTTCGTCCCTGTAAAGTTAAAAAAAAAAATGATTAGGTGCTGCAGTGTATAAAAATGTATGTGCCCTGATCTTTTTGCTGTGAACCAAAATGGAGAGGGGCACCAATGTGTGTATTATTAATAGTACTGTCCAGGATTGGGATTGAGATGCATTGATTGACATGCTCAAAATAATAACAAATGCTGTAAATTTGCACCTGTTCAAGCAGTCAGAATAATATCTGAGTCAGGACCCACGGACACGCTTTTGTTACTTTGTTTTCTAAAGTTTTCAATAAATGTATATGCATATAGTCCATATGTGTGTCATGGTTACTAGAAAGAGCATCAAGAGCAGGGCTGTTATTAACCTGACACTTGAGAAAAGCTGTAATAGTATCCATTATAACTAAAAGTGAAAATAGCTTTTTAGCAGTGGATTTTTTCCACACTATTTACAAAACCATGAAGGCAATTTGGTTAACAAATAGCCTACTTATTGTATTAAAACTGCATTCAGTAGTTGTTTACTTAACGTTTTCATTGCTGATTAAGCACTGATACAAAAATGGTGTTCGACAGTATTGACATCGATCAGCATGATCGTCTCAGTTTGACGGAACTAACACTGATACTGTTTTCATAGAGCGGTTTACACGCACAAAAAAAAGATCTTACCCGTCCAACAAGAAGGAAGCAACTTGGGCATCACTATTCCTGTTCTCTGTCATTAAATCTTTCCATATTGTGGATGCTATAATAGCGAAGTTTACATTCTTTTTTGTCTTTGTTTTCTGGTTTCAAATATTTTCTGCTTCTTCGGCTGTACAGATACTGATTCTCCCCTTGTCTCTGTTGGCAAAGCACTATAATAAGCTGTTCCTTTATTATCTAATCTTTTTATTTGGCATCACCAAACTACACAACACTACTAGCGCATCTCCAGAGGCCGCAGCCAATGAGTGTGAGGATTCTCTCCAACATCATTTTAACAAGGCAAAGTCTTCACAAAAACTTACTCCAGGGGTAGTACCCAAAATAAAAGTTCTCATCATTTACTCAAGTTGTTCCAAACCTGTATGAATTTGTTTATTCTGCTGAACACAACGTTATTATGAAGAATATGGATAACCAAACAGTTGACAGTAGCCATTGACTTCCATAGTATTTTGGAAATTCTTCAAAATATCTTTTGTACTCGACTGAAAAAAAGTAAAAAAAAACTCATACAGGTTTGGAATGACATGAGGGTGAGTAATTGATGACAGAAATTTCATTTTTGGCTGAACTATTCCTTTAATGTGTGAAGCTTTTTAACCTCTTAACCTGCACGGGCCAGGCCGGAAGAGCGTGTTTAGGCATATCTGTACTTTTAATTACCTTTGTTTTATAAAAACATTCATCATAAACTATGCATCATTTGAAAGCTAAAACACTCAAGATTCATGTTCTGAACTTGTTTTTGAAATCAATACACCAGAGAGGAAAGGGTTAAATGAAATGATTAAGGACCGGCCATTTAAATTAGCACCAAACTACTGACTGCAAAAATAAATAAATAAAATTAAAAACTTGGACAATTTAAATGTAAGACAGCTATACAAAATATGTATTTTTATTTTTATTATTATTATTATTATTATTATTATGGGATGGATTCCAATCTTAAATCCCCTCACAATAAAATTGTGAAAATTATGCTGATAAACCATCATGACACTTCAATAACTATCATTTGTCAATCATTTGGGATGGGTAAGAACACTCAAATTTGGCTAAATAAATTTTGAATCACTGTATATTACAAATGGTGCCTCTGAATATTATAGTACATCTACATTTGTTTCAGATTTAAAGCTTGAATGTACAACAGGTTATAGACAGCCACAATTCTTGACCACCATGTTTCGATGTTTCTTGAGAATAACATTGTTGTTGTCGTCATAGAAGAGCACAGAGATGGGACTGAGTTTGGTTGGAGCGCAGCAGGCTTTGGGTACTTCATTTGGTCTTAGAAGATGAACCTGCCAAAAGAGTCAGTACATTTCGAAGAAGTCTCCTGGCATTGTAGTTCAGACAATCACATACAGAAATGTCAAAAGTCAGATTACGTACCAGCAGCTGGATCATGGCGTGGTTTGTGGCATTCATACAAGAGCCCAGAGGATAATCACATTCCCCATCACAATAATATGCAGAATAACCTGTAGGGGCCAAAACCCAGTCCTGAAAAATAATTTTAGAAATTAAATATTTAAACACTCTTAACAGTACAGAGACTTCAGTGTTTGTTCAAAACATTAATAGTGTGGATTGTTCAGTGACTCTTTCTGCAGGTTATATCAATGAGCCAGTAGGTGGCGACAAGTGAGTCATCCACTCAATTGATTTGTTCAAAAACACTTAATTCAGTTAATTCTGTTTTGACTTAAGAACTTTTTCCAATGGCAGAGCAAAAATGTACAGATCAATTTTCAATACTGTGTCTAAAATGTAAGTGACTTATTATTTAACTTCTTGTTTGTTGTTTGAATGTGCAAATGTATGAAAGGCAGGACGTCTCACCTTCCAGCCAAGGTCGCTGAAGCTGACATAGAGTTCATGTTTCTTACAGGCCTGGCGTCCGCTGCTGGCATGATTTTGGTCTGGAATAAGTGAGACAATCGCAACTCAAAGACAAATCATTTCATATGCTCCTTTAAACACAATCTGCCTCTTAAACTGCTTATTGTGGCTCACCAAATATGCCGGGTCTGTTTGGGTGTGGCAGGTCGTACTTGGGTTTTTTCTTGCGTGGATTGTTGTGTCTCAAAGCACGGGGTGGGCGGCAAGGGGCTTGACTGGCTCTGAAGAACGTCACCATAAAAGGCTGTTTAGAGCGCGGCCCGCGCCGACCCACCAGACCCACCCATGTGGCTGACAACGACCGGTCTGTGAAAACAAGATTTCAGTGTTTTACCATATGACCTATGACACTAAACGTGGTTTGCTTCAATAGGTCAAAGCTGCCAAGATACAGACCAAATGTTTGTTGCTTGCTACAGCAGAATTCAGTACCAGTTGGTTGCAAAAATCAAAAACTCCTTCAGTAACTTTTGTGAGACTTGGTCTAAAGATAAATCAGACAAGATTTGTAGTAGGAGTTGCAGGAAGATGTTTAACAATATATTTAATTATTGTAAACATTTGAGTTTTTTATGCATTTGGCAGACACTTTTATCCAAAGCTACTTGTGTACACTCTATTCAGGGTATTCAGAATTGAATTCAGATTACAGCTTGATACACATTGATAGCGCCATGCTCTACTGCTTAAACTAGAGGAAGGCTACAATGAGCAATTGAGTTTAAAAACACAAATGGTATTGAGATTGAGATTAAAAACACCAAGTTAAATCAAGTTAGGTGGGGCAATTAAGGCAGAAGAAAAACAATTTTTGAGTCAAGACCAAAAAAGTTTATTTATTAATATTTTTATATTATATTTTATTTTATATATTAAAAATAAAAGTAAAAATAAAAGATTATGTATTATCTTTATTTTTGCAATTTCTGTATTTATTTTAATAAATGTTATTATTCTTTTTGAGGTGTCACATGGTGTCAAACCTGTAGTGAGGAGCACCATCCAATGATGCTATCAGTGCTATTTAGCCATCATTCTGTACATAAGGAATAGCTCACCCTCCTCAGTTTCCACATAAAGGCGGATGCCCAAGTTGCTCCGAGGGTGGAGAAGCCAGCGATTGCTCGCAGAAGTCACATCAAATGCCAGCCAACCCTCTTGACCCACCGGCACAGACTGCATGTCCAACAACACCAGCTCAGGCTCCCTGTCAAACCACAAGATCTTAATGTATTTCCATCATAATGACCGACGATGGATCTCAGTGACATTGATGAATGCACAAAAAACTACTAAAATGTCATTTAATGTCAAGGATTCTTGCTTCATAATCACTAAAATCAAATGATATCTAGTTTCTGAATCAGATTCCGTATCACAAATCTGTATAAATGATCATATATGACTATGACCTGTGTCTTTTCTCCCTCTGGATTTCATAGACAGAGATATGGAGGGTGCGGTTTGCACGCCAACCCACGGTAAGAGTTTTATAGATGCGAAACTCAGCAGCGGTGACTGTCTCTCCCTGAGGAAGCGGAGTGAGATCGAAGCGGAACTCCTTCCAGTACGGCCGAGGCTGCAGCAGATCCTTCTCCTGCTCCACTGCGGTCAGAGACAGAGGCCAGAGAGAGAGTTAAAAAACAATAACTACCTCAGAGGAGCGTATGTGTTGAGTGAGTGTGAGGACACTTGAGACATGTTAGAGGGTTGATTGGCAGGAGAAGATGGGGGAACAAAAAATGGAACATTTGTTCTGGTAGAGCTCAGCAGATCGGACTGACACCCACGGCTGGAGCTCTGCAGTGGGGTAATTAGAGGCGTTGTGGAGCTGCTGCAGCTCAGCGCACCACCACTAATTACAGTCCAGCGCTGTATTTTTAGAGGAGTGCCCAACAGTATTTTCATCCACTTCATCTCATCTTTTTTCTGCCTTTCAGTGGGGCCTGTAATTCCCCACAGCTGTGTGCCCACTACAACATCACATGGCCTGATCTGGACTGGCCTTTGTAGATCCACAATAATCAAGATTTACATTTAGAAAAGCACAGAGAAAAGGAAAACACTATATTAAAAGACAACTGGCAGGAGTAAGAACTTGATTTTTATGTTTTTCTGAAGAACATCATGAACTCCAGGCCATGATGCTAGCGTGTTGTAAGTGTTCGCAACATAGATATGTATCTGCCCCATTTGACTGCGCCAAGCATGTAGACGCGTCCGCCATCTTTAACGGTCAACTTGACGTCATTCACCATAATAATCAATGAATATTCGAAGATGCCACAATCCTGCACAGCTGATCGTTGTAAAAACTGCCGGGATTTAAATTCCCAAAGAAACGGGATAACCTTTCACAGGTGAGAATGTGTTGGTTATGTTTTTAAATGTATTAACTCAATATTACAAGTTGTGAAACATTGGCAACTTATGTTACTGTTATGATGAATGACGTCAAGTTGACCCTTCGAATATGGCGGACGGCTTACGTATAGCGGCCCATAGAAACAGTTGCTAATAAGGCATCTACGTATACATATCTATGGCTCGCAATATGTCCGCCATGTGAAAAGTCCATTCTTTAAAATTAAAGTAGGGCTGCCCCCTATAGTCGACTAACCACCGTTAGTTAGTGCTAAATTTAGTGCAAAATTTTATTAGTGCTTAGTTGCAGGGACAAAAAAAAAAATATTCCACAGGAAGTGGCGAAGTCACATGACGGAAAGATTATTAACAGCTGGTCTTCATGTGGTAATTACAGTACATCGGTCAGGACAAACAAATGTTTCGTTTCGTTCGGACCTCAATTGTTGCTTATCATCTGAAACATGTAAGTAGTAGCATCATTACGTGGCCGCTCACTTTAACGTTAACTTAGAAAAATGTGCGCTATTCAAGTGTCTGTGCGGAGTGTGGAAGCTGAATAGTTGCGCGCTCACTCGGTGAGATCATTTAACTTAAAATACTCCAACAATTTTGGTCGTACAGATAAAAGTAATACATCTTTCAAATCTGTAAAAGATCTACTTTTATTTGTGTGCACTCACAATGACAACAAAACGTTGTGCTTTTGTAAAATGATGAAAGCAATGCTTGAACTGTGAACGCTGTGAACTTGAGCGCATCAAAAAACAAAACAATAAAAAAACCATCCCGAAAACTGCAACCGAAACTCCATGCTTGCCTCACAGACATAAAAAAATATATCTATATAAAGCAAAATGTCTACTTTTAAATGAACCAATTCAAATGGAAACAAATCTTTGCAGATTATGTAATCCGTATGAAATGTGCATTGTCCACTGTGGAGATGACGAGTCAATGTCGTCGACTTTGTCATTGCAGCCGAAAATACTGAAAACACTAGTTTATCAATTAATTATTTGAATGTTAAGGCAGTCTTCTTGCAGTTTTTTCCCGATGCATTCATAATCATTACTTCTGCAGTGCGCTGTGGCAAGCTTCATGTGTGCGCTTGAGCGCTGATAGGCTACAGGCAATTAAAGGCTCATTATTATGAATTATATGGTTTATTAATATAAACTTGCTTTAAATAAACAACTATTAGTCGATCAGAAAAATCTTTAGTCGAGGGCAGCCCTAAATAAAAGTTCTTCATTTGATGGTTCCATGAGGAAACTTTAACATCCTTAGAAACTTTTCATAACACAAAAGGTTCTTTAGATTTTTTAGATGTTCTTCACACTAAAAAAAGTAGTAGATCTTTTAAGAACCGTTCACTGAAAAGTTCTTTGGGGAGCCAAAAATGGTTCTTCTAGGGAATCGTTGCATAACTGCCCTTTTGGAATCTTTATTTTTAACAGCGAATGCACAAAATGTTTTTTATGTAGTGGAAAAAAGGTTCTTTTTAAATGCTCTTTAAATCAAGTAAAAGTAGTTCTTCTATGGAATTGCTATGAAAACCCCCTTTTGGACCGTACAGTATATTTTCAAGAGTCTATTGGAAAAATTATTAAAATGTTCTTTAACCGCTGTTAGAACTGTTCAAGGCTTTTTTTTTTTTTGCAGAACTTTAAAAATGTTCTATGTCATCACAACAAATATGGTCTTTCGGAATCTTTATGTTCAAGAGTCTATTGTAGACAGTTTCTTCAGATTATTAAAATGTTCTTCACACTATTAAAAAATGGACCTTTTACGAACCGTTATTTTTAAGAGTGTCCAATCAATTAGAAAAGCAAAAGCACACCTCTCCTCAAAGAGCCACATGATTTGAGGCATCATTCATGTTTGTAGCACAAACAGTAATGCAGCAAAGTTTCATAATTAGGGTTACAGGTTTGTTTAAATCACTAACCCAAATATGAGCAATAATAATAGTGATGCCTGCCTTAGCAAACACCACTAGTTACATCTGAGAAAGGGGTGATACTGACCAATAATAGTGTGGCAGGAACGACGTGGAAAGAGAAGCAAGAATAGTAAATAGGATGTTAAACTGTTGTTTGTTTCGTGACAGATAAGTATCGTCTGTGTTTGGGCTGAGACAGGAAGAGATGATGGAGTGATTGTGGGTCTGTCTCAGGGAACAGACTGTATTATCAGTACACACTACAAGCCTTGTCAGCTTCTCAAAATCAATGGCATATGGCATTGTATATGAATAACTATCTGGCTTCCAATACAGTATTTTTGTGCTATAAAACAGCATTATTTACTGTGCTCCCCAAAAAGACATTAGGGCACTGAAAGCAGACTTAAAATGGCATTGTATTAGCTAAAATATCAAAGCAAGTGGTATTTGCAAACAAATGATATTACACTTGTTCTCATAACTAACCACTTTCTAGTTATTTTTGCAATGACATTTAAGTCAAGGTGAATTTCTGTGGACATATGGAAGCCTCTTAGCACCTAAAAAAAAAAAAAAAACATAAAAAGAAGTAAATAATTAAAAAAAATGCATTATTTACTATAAATGTGACTTTATATCCAACAGTGTGATTTTGCTTCTTATTTTAAACTTGATCGCTAAGGCAGGCTTTCATATAAACCAGCGTTGTTACTGTTAACTAAATATATATAAAAAAAATATAATATTAATAGAAATAAAGCTAAAATAAAATATAACTGAAATAAAATAAGCTGAATTTGAAGTACTTAAACATAAACTAAAAAACAAATGAAGGCTGAATCAAAATATTAAAACAAAAACAAAACAATAACAAAAGCACAGAACAAAATTACTAAAACTTTAAAATTAAAACTGAAAATATAAAAATAAAAGTTTATTCATTAAAGATAATCTATAAATAATATATAGTAACACTGACATTAAGTTCCAGTTCCCAGGCAGAGGAAACAGTCGCTGGCGGCCTCGGGTTCGGCTGCCACAGCTCTCCTTCCTCCCTCTGCTGCGGTGTGAGGACACACACTCAACCACACTCTCCTGTTTGCCCATTGGTGTGGCAGAAGAGCTCTGCTCCATTGCAGCGGTCTATAAAGATCGTATTTGTCCCTCCAAAACCTCTGGGTGTTTACCCGACGTTGGTTTTCTCTGGAATGGTCTGACTACTGTCTTGAAGTTCAACTCTGAATAACACTCCGACGTCTAAGCCACTCAGATTCCACAGCAGTCATCGTTATTTGAAAGAGTGCAATGTTTACTGCTACAAGCCACTCAGTTTATCGCCTTTTGACAGTCATTCCTCATGCTGTCATTTCATTTACCAAACCACAGGGCTTCTCTACAATGTGCTTACAGAGATGGACAACAAAAAACAAATATCCTAGAAACTGGAAGAGAACACAAACAGGTCTTCCTAGAAGCTCAAATCCCTTCAGCGGTGATCTCGGAATTGGACGGACTAAGCACAATGTGAAATTAAAGTCTTAAAAACACAGGGCCTCACAAACATCAGGTTTCAAAGGTTTTTTTCTTCAAAGGTTTCTGGATCAAACACAACACCTGCTTCTGCTCCTTTTGAGAAGATGAGAGTCACAACTCCAAGCTGATGAAATCCTCTAGGTTTAAATGAAAAACCAAAAGTTACAAAACTCCCTTGCAGTAATCCATTAATATTGGGATTAAAATGTTTAATCCAATGGGTGGAAATATCCAAGACTCCTGAAAAATCAAAAATATATATATTTCAGGATTTCGAGTGAGAAAATGATTTGTTCACCAGAATACTGTTACCATCTCCAAATGTTTTTCTGAATTGTGAAGTTGCGAGATCCCAATGAGCTGTGGTATTCTTAGCCTGTGTGCTGCTTGCGTTGAAGGCATAATCTGAACACGGGTGACCTCCTTCCCTCCAAGATACACACTTACGCAGAGGGAGTGTTTCCAATGACTGGATCCTCCGCCCGCTCTTCCCTAAACCCTTCTCACCTCAATCTCCATCTACTATCAAACAGTCTCATCTTCTACACATACCTCACAAATTGCTGACAATTATCATGTGGTTTGGCATAAAGATGTTCTCAGATGTGATCCAACCTTTGCACAGACTAGAAATGAGTTTTTATGGTGACGGTAACATGAAAACTGTATTTATATTCTGTGGTTTCAACAATAGCCAAGGAGTGACAGAGCAATGCTGTCTTATTGAAGATGTATATATGGAACCTTGATTTGCAATGAATATATATTATGAATTACACAAAATATAAAATTACATAAAATAATGTGTATAAATATTTATATAGATATTATAAAAGTATAATTTTTTACCTAAAGTCTTGAAATTTAAAATAAAAATGAGGGCCATTGACATGCCATTAGTCAGCTATGCAAACACACCCATATAACGTGAGGTTTTTTTTTTATTATAGGAAAACAGTTTGATAAAAAACTAAAAATGCAAAAAAATGAGGGATTATGTGTATTGACCTCAGTTGATTATAAGAATGAAATAACACCGCAGGACTGTGAGATGCCACGAGAACTCGGCTCGGTGGTGTGGATGGTGTTTGGTGGGAAAGGATGTGAGTGGGTTTAAATATTTGTATATAAACACAGACACAGCTGCAGAATGGAGATGATGAAACCCCACCCTTCCCAAACCCCATCCGCTGCATCGGACCACCAAACATACACAGAGTCCAGTACAAACACACACTACTTAAGTGTGACCAACACACACGGCACAAAGGTGCTTCTATTCACTCGTGGGCCCGTTTCTGAACTCCCGAATTACTGTAAATCTTCTATAAAAGTGCAGTGTTCAAATCTCTGCACACACCAAAGGCTCATCCCCTTTTGAAGATTTAATGGGGTGTGTCATTATCTCTACTGCTTGTAATTACTGTGCCATTTCCTGTTAACGGTGGCATCCCTGCACACACACACACACACACACACACACACACACACACACACACACACATAACTGAAATAAAATAAGCTGAATTTGAAGTACTTAAACATAAACTAAAAAACAAATGAAGGCTGAATCAAAATATTAAAACAAAAACAAAACAATAACAAAAGCACAGAACAAAATTACTAAAACTTTAAAATTAAAACTGAAAATATAAAAATAAAAGTTTATTCATTAAAGATAATCTATAAATAATATATAGTAACACTGACATTAAGTTCCAGTTCCAGTTTGTCAAACAGAAAGTGTCCAAAATAATTTTTTGTGAAAGTATTTGTTGTTGCAACAAACTTCTCAATGTGAAATGTACTGATTGTCTTGTCTTTCTTTTAAATAAATGACACTCGGTCTAATGCGTTATATAATACAATGACATTTACACATTTTCAAGTGTGGTTTATGTCCACACATGGGCCGCTGTATAGTAATTCATGTCTTCTGTAAGTGAAGTGCGTTTAACCCTTGCCAGCTTTCACTTACCCAGGTTGACAAAGCTCATAACCGTGTCGGCCTCGCTAACCACTGTGCCGAGGGGTGGCGTGTGTGTGCTTAAAGTGGGCAGCGCCGCATGACTGACCCCTTCTGGAGTGAAGCCCAGACTCAGTCCATCATCGGCCTCGTACGACACGGCATGGTAAAGGTCCAGCATGAAGAGCGGGGCGGAGGAAGGGGGCCGCAGAGGCGGGTGAGGTCTGGGCCGGCCGGGTAGACCCAAAATGGATAAAATCTCCTTCTGCATCTCCTTCTTTTCACGACCACTGAGTCTGCGGAAGCTGGAATGAACCACTCCTTCCACCTGAGCCCAAACACACAGCAGCATGCAGAGAGGGAGGAGGACAGGCAGAGGAAACAGTCGCTGGCGGCCTCGGGTTCGGCTGCCACAGCTCTCCTTCCTCCCTCTGCTGCGGTGTGAGGACACACACTCAACCACACTCTCCTGTTTGCCCATTGGTGTGGCAGAAGAGCTCTGCTCCATTGCAGCGGTCTATAAAGATCGTATTTGTCCCTCCAAAACCTCTGGGTGTTTACCCGACGTTGGTTTTCTCTGGAATGGTCTGACTACTGTCTTGAAGTTCAACTCTGAATAACACTCCGACGTCTAAGCCACTCAGATTCCACAGCAGTCATCGTTATTTGAAAGAGTGCAATGTTTACTGCTACAAGCCACTCAGTTTATCGCCTTTTGACAGTCATTCCTCATGCTGTCATTTCATTTACCAAAAGGATTTATAATCATAACTTCTTTACTTTTACACAATTGCACCCCTGTTTCTCAGTCATGTCAAAAGAGTAACACAATCAAAAGGTGGATCCTTTCACAGCCCTCACCTCCCTCCCAAGGACACAATAAATAAATAAAAATCACCTTTCTTCAGGTATTCATATACTTCAGCTTGTCAAAGACAAGATTCAAAGCGCTGTTTTTAACGGGGGCAACGCGAGCCGCTCCCATCATTCATTATTTAGGGTGCTTCCGTCACGAAAGAACAAGTAGGAAGCCACTTTTGACGTCATCTAAAGTTAGTCGCCGGCAAAAAGGCCACCATTGGAATCATTAAGCTTCCTGGTCAGTTATAACATCAGAAATGATCAGTCAGAGAACTTCATTACGTCAGGAGCGGACGTACAAAAACAAAACCAAGAGCGATTCCTGTTGTGTTAATACTACTCATTCTTAAGAGTTGATATGATACTGCAATCACAAATAAATACAGCTCGTTATTCTAGAAAAGAAACAAAACGTCAGGATTATAAATTAACCTTGAAACAAACATTCACAATTGTAATCATTTTTGCATCCTGTGGAAAAGCTCTGTAACATGATGTCTGTAACAAAAGGACACAACTAGACTGTGTGGACACACAGTGGAGAAGACCGTCGGTGCGAGCGCATGAATCTCGTGTGCTGTACGCTATAGGAGTTCCTTTAAATGGATCACGTGTGACGTGAAGGATCTAGTCTTCTCGTCACAAGAATCTTCACACCTTGGGAAGGCTAGAGATATGTATCCTCCTCCACTTCCTCTCCGTATTACTGCATTAATTTACCATGACAGGAACTACCACACATTCATTCACACAAACATACAAGTGTCCAGGAGGAAAACATCTCTGTTTTTAATTGATTTCCTCTAGTTTGCGGTGGCATAGACACCCAGGCGAGACTGGTCTGCATACCAGTGAAAAGGGCGAGTTTGTCCAACCAAACATCTCCAAAGTGACAACCATGCATGAGGTTTGGAGAGTGACGGGCGGTTGCATATTCATAGTGAAGAATAATGAAAACCCCTGGTGCAGAACTGACGTCCCTCCTGAGTGTCTGTGGAGAGATGTCTGCTCACACCGGATGTTCTCCATCGCACATTCAAGAAATCGCAATGCCAGTTAAATTAAGGACATGATGTAGAACACAAATAAGGCAGCATTATGGTAGGTATTGATCTGGGTGGTGCAGCAGTGTGCGGCTGCGCTAGACGCTGGAGGTGTTAAGTCTGGTCCTGTCTCGTCTGAGCTGGCGGAGCGGCACATTAGCCGTCTGAGAGAGGAAGGTGTGGTGTTCTCCTCCTGCTGGTTAAATCACAACCACCTCAGAGTCAGTCACATAGACTGATAAGGTGGCGACTTCATTTCTTGGCCGCTGGTGTTTTGGGGCTGGGGGCCTTCTTGGAGATGGTGGGGATTTTGGAGGGTTTGGCCCCAGGCCGGTGAGGGGTGTCTGAGGTGTCGGAGCAAGCCGAGCGTGTCTCCATGAGCTCAGACGTGTCTGAAGCGTCGCTGCCCCTTCGGCTGCTGGCACGGCTTCCAGCACGACTCCCCGCTCGACTGGCTGGGCCGCTCGTCGAGGACGGAGTGCGTTTGGTGTCTGATGAAGGAAGATGATTCAAGTTTAAGGGTACAGTAAAACGGCAAATCAGGATGTATTACAAATATAACGGAAAGCCAAATAGAAACACCACCACAATCTAAAATTTAATACTTTGAGTACATTTATTTTTTATTGTTTTAAATAGCAACACTAATACTGTAACTAACCCATTACCTGACCAGTAATTGGCTACTTTATCCAACATGTGGAATGTGACATTTTTTGTGCACTGTGCTTTACAGCAGAGCAAGCCACATAAACTGTAATTTATTAATTTTAGCAAACAGGCTTGTTTTGGATGGATCAACGAACTTAACACAAGGAGGTTTGTTAAAACAAACAACAACAACAACAAAAATATTAATCAATTTGTTTGAGTTCCTGTGCTAAACGTTTTTTCTTTCTTTTTTGTTTTGGTACTGATATAGTGACTTAAATGCCACTGTTCATCACTGTATTTTGACTAACATACATTTTGGTGCTTTCTAGTTTCATTCATTTAGAATTTAGTGTAAATTAATTGTTACATTGTTTTGTTATACTAGACAAAAAACAATACCAAAGTATGCCAATAGACAGTAATATATTCATAATAGTGTGCTGCAGGAATGAGTCCTAAAACTAAGGACACATCCGGTTCAATTGCCCCCAAAGTCAATGCGTTTTCTGAATGGGGTTTTGGTTAAACAAGGTCTGTGGTTAACACAAGCTGAAGATATTTATTCTACAACATTAAATACATCAGTAAAACTCCCTTTGTGTTGTTAACAAGTGGCTAAATGGGACTACAGAGGTTGTCGGGGGCATTATACGTCATTACCCCCAACAGGAAAACTCATCTACTCACTGTAACCGTTAATGGTGAGGGCATTGAAGTTGTAAATGAATATAAATATCTAGGGACAATCATTGATGTAAAACTGACATGGGATGTAAATACAGCAGCTGTTTACAAGAAAGGGCTGCAACGATTGTATTTCATGTGTAAGCTTCGACAGTTTGGTGTGGATACATATATGTTGGCTCTATTCTATCGTTTATTTGTGGAGAGTATCTTGACTTTCAGCTTTGTTGCCTGTATTTCTCACAGTCTGTAGTAAATAAGAACAAACTAAATAAAATTGTTAATATGGCTAGTAAGATTGCAGGTAAACAACAGCATAGTCTGATAAAACTATGTGAATTTCGAGCTGTGAGGAAAAGCCATGCAATTTTTCTGGATGCATCGCATCCTCTTTGTGGTGAATATGAGTTATTACCATCTGGTCGAAGGTACAGGGTACCATTATTACGGACTGCCTGTGCACAAAGATCTTTTATATCATCCAGTATAGCTCTGTTAAATACATTTTTGTGGTATCACAGTTGTCATTTTACATCTATGGCAGTGATTCTGTTGTTGTGAGAGGGCTGTTGTTTGATGCTGGTTGTATTTATTTGTAATGTGTTGTAACCTGTTGATGTTTATATTTGTTAATTATTGTTGTTGATCACTGAAGAGTTGCCAGAGACACAAAAATAATTTCCAAAAGGACAATAAACTAAACTAACTAACACTAGTCCACTTTAACAGCCTCATTTTGTTTAGAGTCATTCTCTTGCAAACTATTTTTTATAACTCAAACTTTCCAACTTGTAGATCTTAAAGACTGAAAGAGTGGTGGTGATGATGAAGTGTTCAATTATAGCCTACCTTTAGCTTTTTACTCTAGCCGATTGTAGTTAGGATTCAAAATTCATAAATGTTATTTGTGAAGATTATCTTGAACGTAAAAATCACAAACTTATTGGTTGCAGCACTAAAATATACTGCCCTCTTAAATGGCTTCAATATTCAATACTTTTTGTTATAAGCTTGTAGTGTAGCTAACTATGTTTTTCAGAAGGGTCTGTTAGTACCTTCAGTTACATCAGTTACACAGTAGATTTTTATAGAGCTTTTCACAATACCGTTTCAAAGCTGCTTTACAGAAAATGCGTAAAATGCGTGCAGTGTACTTTGTGATGTTATAGTTTTAGTGTAGCTTTCCCAACACTGGAGATTAGATCAATTCACATCAGTTTAAAAAGTCTGACTGAGTGAAGCAGTTTCGTACCGGAGCGTCCAGGTTTAGTAGCGGTTGGTGTTCCACCATTCTCACCAGTTAAGGAGCCACGGCTGGAATGGAAAGTTGGTCTTTTCAGCTTAGATGTGGAGCCTCCCTATAAAAGCAAAGAGAGAACGTTTATTACAAAAGGCCAGATTTGTCCTGTGTAGCTACGGATAATAAAACTAACAGATAAATCTGGTCAAATGTAGCTAAAAGTAACTGGAATTTGTTTTCTGGAAAAATCCAGCTACTTTTGGTTACGTTCTACCAGACTCTCTACCAAGACCTGGACGATGAAAATCTGTCATCACATAAGATGGTTTAACAGAATGATTTCTTGATGAACATGAAATGAACTGAAACTGTTTCTCAAGCCAGCTACATCTGTCTGTTATCACACTGGAGACTAAGCTGCATAAGGTCACAGTTTACACTCTTTAGCAACATATAAGGGTCACAGAGTTGACTGAGCCATCTACCTCAGGTCCTTCCCAATTGTTGAGATCAGGCCGCACTTAAAGCTTTTACTGTTAGTGTGTTAGCGCACTGGGAGGGGGTAAGTGTGTTACCTCATGCCCAGGGGTCTGGCTGTGCTCTGGGCAGGACTGGCACTTGGTTGGTGTTGGAGTTTTACTGTGTGCCAGCCAGGGCTTGGCATAGCCACGAGATTGGGATTGGGAGGACTGGGAAATGCGGTAGCAAATAGGACGAGGAAGAGCCAAGTAGCAAAAAAGCAGTGGGAAGAAGCCAGGATAAATGGAAAAAGAGTAAAGTGGAGGGAGATGATGCAGCATGGCAGAGAATAGTGTTTTTGTAGGTGGAGATGAGAACAAACAGGGAGGAAGGGTGGAGGAAGGCACATTTTCCAAGCAAGGGAGGGGATAGGGACAAAAAGACAAAGAACAAATAAAAATCTCACAGATGACAATATGATTTTGACATGCAGAGACAGTAGTGATCATGTCCTGATCCCAAAACAACAATGTAAACAAACACCACAATCAGAGACAGAGAAACCATCCACCAAAAAGGAGACATCACACTGCTGATTTCAAGACATCTTAAGGATTAGTGACAGACTGATATGTCGGCCTTAAAAAATATTTTATAACAATATACATAAACACACACACACTACCGTTCAAAAGTTTGGGGTCTGTAAGAGTTTTTTAATGTTTTTAAAAGAAGTCTCTTATGCTCACCAAGGCCACATTTATTTGATGAAATTGCAGTAAAAACAGCGATATTGTGAAATATTATTACAATTTGAAATAACTGTTTTCTATTGGAATATATTTTAAAATGTAATTTAATCATGTGATGGCAACGCTGAATTTTCAGCAGCCATTCTAATATGCTGATTTGGTGCTCAAGAAACATTTCTTATTTTATAATATAAATTGCTGTGCTTAATATATAGAACAGCATTTACTTGAACCAGAAATCTTTTGTAACATTCTTAATGCCTTCACTGGCACTTTCAATCAATTTAATGCATCCTTGCTTAAAAAAAAAAAAAAAATGTATTGGTGTGTATTGAAAAAATCCAAAAAGGCAGTGTTTAAACTTTAGATGACAACATAAAATACAAGCAATCAGACATATTCAAATACTCATGAAACACACAGATTTATGTAAAGACCATGAAGAACACTCAGATATGAAGTATAATGTTATGTGTTATGCGAAAAAGGACATTAATTACCAATGCTTTTGCAAGAGAATCTACAGTTGTGCTCAACTGTAAAGAGTCTGCAAGATATTTCTCATTATAATTGGATTTTGTCTCCTATTTTGTACCGCATATATACATATATATATATATGCAAAGACATGCACATATCTGTTATGCATCAGCATCTTCAGGGCAGTAGTAATTTTAAGATTTTATTTATTTGTAATGTGTTGTAACCTGTTGATGTTTATATTTGTTAATTATTGTTGTTGATCACTGAAGAGTTGCCAGAGACACAAAAATAATTTCCAAAAGGACAATAAACTAAACTAACTAACACTAGTCCACTTTAACAGCCTCATTTTGTTTAGAGTCATTCTCTTGCAAACTATTTTTTATAACTCAAACTTTCCAACTTGTAGATCTTAAAGACTGAAAGAGTGGTGGTGATGATGAAGTGTTCAATTATAGCCTACCTTTAGCTTTTTACTCTAGCCGATTGTAGTTAGGATTCAAAATTCATAAATGTTATTTGTGAAGATTATCTTGAACGTAAAAATCACAAACTTATTGGTTGCAGCACTAAAATATACTGCCCTCTTAAATGGCTTCAATATTCAATACTTTTTGTTATAAGCTTGTAGTGTAGCTAACTATGTTTTTCAGAAGGGTCTGTTAGTACCTTCAGTTACACCTACATTCAAGTAGATTTTTATAGAGCTTTTCACAATACCGTTTCAAAGCTGCTTTACAGAAAATGCGTGTTACTCTTTCAGTGTACTTTGTGATGTTATAGTTTTAGTGTAGCTTTCCCAACACTGGAGATTAGATCAATTCACATCAGTTTAAAAAGTCTGACTGAGTGAAGCAGTTTCGTACCGGAGCGTCCAGGTTTAGTAGCGGTTGGTGTTCCACCATTCTCACCAGTTAAGGAGCCACGGCTGGAATGGAAAGTTGGTCTTTTCAGCTTAGATGTGGAGCCTCCCTATAAAAGCAAAGAGAGAACGTTTATTACAAAAGGCCAGATTTGTCCTGTGTAGCTACGGATAATAAAACTAACAGATAAATCTGGTCAAATGTAGCTAAAAGTAACTGGAATTTGTTTTCTGGAAAAATCCAGCTACTTTTGGTTACGTTCTACCAGACTCTCTGCCAAGACCTGGACGATGAAAATCTGTCATCACATAAGATGGTTTAACAGAATGATTTCTTGATGAACATGAAATGAACTGAAACTGTTTCTCAAGCCAGCTACATCTGTCTGTTATCACACTGGAGACTAAGCTGCATAAGGTCACAGTTTACACTCTTTAGCAACATATAAGGGTCACAGAGTTGACTGAGCCATCTACCTCAGGTCCTTCCCAATTGTTGAGCTCAGGCCGCACTTAAAGCTTTTACTGTTAGTGTGTTAGCGCACTGGGAGGGGGTAAGTGTGTTACCTCATGCCCAGGGGTCTGGCTGTGCTCTGGGCAGGACTGGCACTTGGTTGATCAGGCCGCACTTAAAGCTTTTACTGTTAGTGTGTTAGCGCACTGGGAGGGGGCAGTGTGTTACCTCATGCCCAGGGGTCTGGCTGTGCTCTGGGCAGGACTGGCACTTGGTTGGTGTTGGAGTTTTACTGTGTGCCAGCCAGGGCTTGGCATAGCCACGAGATTGGGATTGGGAGGACTGGGAAATGCGGTAGCAAATAGGACGAGGAAGAGCCAAGTAGCAAAAAAGCAGTGGGAAGAAGCCAGGATAAATGGAAAAAGAGTAAAGTGGAGGGAGATGATGCAGCATGGCAGAGAATAGTGTTTTTGTAGGTGGAGATGAGAACAAACAGGGAGGAAGGGTGGAGGAAGGCACATTTTCCAAGCAAGGGAGGGGATAGGGACAAAAAGACAAAGAACAAATAAAAATCTCACAGATGACAATATGATTTTGACATGCAGAGACAGTAGTGATCATGTCCTGATCCCAAAACAACAATGTAAACAAACACCACAATCAGAGACACAGAGAAACCATCCACCAAAAAGGAGACACCACACTGCTGATTTCAAGACATCTTAAGGATTAGTGACAGACTGATATGTCGGCCTTAAAAAATATTTTATAACAATATACATAAACACACACACACTACCGTTCAAAAGTTTGGGGTCTGTAAGAGTTTTTTAATGTTTTTAAAAGAAGTCTCTTATGCTCACCAAGGCCACATTTATTTGATGAAATTGCAGTAAAAACAGCGATATTGTGAAATATTATTACAATTTGAAATAACTGTTTTCTATTGGAATATATTTTAAAATGTAATTTAATCATGTGATGGCAACGCTGAATTTTCAGCAGCCATTCTAATATGCTGATTTGGTGCTCAAGAAACATTTCTTATTTTATAATATAAATTGCTGTGCTTAATATATAGAACAGCATTTACTTGAACCAGAAATCTTTTGTAACATTCTTAATGCCTTCACTGGCACTTTCAATCAATTTAATGCATCCTTGCTTAAAAAAAAAAAAAAAATGTATTGGTGTGTATTGAAAAAATCCAAAAAGGCAGTGTTTAAACTTTAGATGACAACATAAAATACAAGCAATCAGACATATTCAAATACTCATGAAACACACAGATTTATGTAAAGACCATGAAGAACACTCAGATATGAAGTATAATGTTATGTGTTATGCGAAAAAGGACATTAATTACCAATGCTTTTGCAAGAGAATCTACAGTTGTGCTCAACTGTAAAGAGTCTGCAAGATATTTCTCATTATAATTGGATTTTGTCTCCTATTTTGTACCGCATATATACATATATATATATATGCAAAGACATGCACATATCTGTTATGCATCAGCATCTTCAGGGCAGTAGTAATTTTAAGATTTTATCTCTTGTTTTTGTAAAATGCTAAACATCATTACCGATTCTGCAAACGCTGTCTATACAAATGCTTGTAAACAAGCACAACTGTATATCTAGATAAACAGTGATTAAATGTTCAATTTACAGTTCAAATGTTTCGGGTCGGTAAGATTTTTAATGTTTTTTTTTTTAAAGAAGTCTCTGATGCTCACCAAGGCTGTTTATTTGACCAAAAATACACTAAAAACTTTAAAATAACTGTTTTCTGGTTGAATATAATTCAATATATATTCTGTGATGGCAAAGCTAAATCTTTTGAAAGTACTTAATGTTATTTTTGATAAATGAAATGCATCCTTGCTGAATAAATGTATTATCGTCTTTCAAAAAGAAAAATCTTACTGACCCCAAACCTTTGAACAGTAACATATGATACAAGTAAACTGTGTGAGACTGATTTTTAGAGATTTTTCATGAAAATATTAGTGTATAAGCATGCTCCCACAACAAACAGCAAGTACGGGTTATATCCTTATGGAGTGTAATATGGGGTCACTCACCCTTGAGGAGGCTGTGGGCGTTGCGGGTGCAGAGGGTAGAGAGGCGCAGCTGTGGGCGCTGTGCGATGCAGATGAAGATGAACGGGTGGGTGAGGCAGTGCGTGACGAAGGTTTGGATCGCCGCCCCCGGGACCGGAAGGCTGCCAGACCCTGCGTAGCTCCCTCTGGAAGAATGAACTTTTCTCGAAGCTCCAGGTTGGTACGTCCACGAGCTGCAGAAAATGAAAGGAGGAGAAATTAAATCAGCTGCTAGGCCGTAAGGGACGATGATTAGGCGGAGAGCAGTGTGAGTGGAGAGAGTCAGCACTTCCTCCGGCCCACTGCTTTGATTCAATGCAGACAGAGGGATCGTTTACCCACTTTAAAAGCGGTCAGTGTGCGTGGTGGACACGATGCAGGGGGTTAACAGTGAAGTGAGTCAGAGCAAGCATCTTCAAAACAAGAACTCACTAAAAAAAAAAAAGAAAAAAGCACAGCTTCCCTCAGCCCACCACGTAAAAGAGTGCACACGCATAAACAGCGTTGACAGATACCTGAGGGTCATGCCTGATAATGCTTTTAGCAAACACTGAAAACCAACGCAAGCTTCCATGGAGCATTCTCAATAACAAGACACCCAACGCAGCAGCCCTTGCACAACACACAGACCAGAGCAGCCAGCTGAGAGAGAGAGAGGGCTGTGCACAATGGCAGCAGTAGCTGTGGTCAGTGTTGGGGAGTATCTAACTAAAAGCACAGAAAATTCAGTTACATTTTTCAGTAGTGTTACAATAGGACATAGCATGTAGCCTTACATACGAGCAAAATGCAACAATCAAACACCACTCCCTTATACTGGGATTTTAGGTAATCGTTTAGATAATTCATTGCGCATTCATTCAGTCCCTGCATAATATTTTATGCCTACTGTTTTGTAGCAAAACATTTAATCAAATGCTGCTGTTCATCAATGTTTTCAACAAAGTTATATAAATGTAGGGTGTTCTGTTATTGTTAACTAAAAAATAAAAGTAAACTATAAAATTTTTTCATTAATTGAAAAAAGCTAAATCTAAATATTAGATGAAAAACTTAATGTTGCCTTGGCTAAAATAAGCTAAAGTAAATAGAAACATAAAAAAAAAAAAGACAAGCACATAACCAAATTACTAAAATGTAAAAAAAAAAAAGCTAATTAATTTATTAAAGCTATTAAAATATACATAAAAACTTTAGTAGTGTAAAAATAATACTAAAATAACACTGGTTTCCAATTAGTTGTATTTATTAAGCCAATTTTCCTCAAGTTTAGCAGGTGTCCTAACCACAGATGTAGTTCATCACATTAATCGCCAACCTGACCCACTAATATTTGACAACTACAAAGTGTCACAATTCTTTTGTCTTAATCCAGAACAGTGATTCAACTGCTGTATTATCTAACAAACGTCTTTTTGTGAAATGTTTTGCTTAAAAATGACCTTATCTATCTTTCTTAAAATAAACAAAAGCCACTTGATTTGACATTGCCATAAACTATCAGTGGTCAGTCACTTACATAGTTTGTGTCCTTAGCTACTGTTTTGGTATTAGTGTGTAGTGTGGCTAATTAATTTTTCAAAAAGTGTGATTTTACTGTACTTCAACTATAAATTATAAGTAGCTTTTAGCGTGGCAAGCTACAGTTTCAAAGTAGCTTCCCCAACACTGCATGATACTCACTTTTCCATCAAACCCAGTCAGAGCAGGGCAGTCGATAACTGCCGCACCATATAATTTCCTCCCCACAAACCTGGTGGGGCCTGTAATTCATTTCTCCATGAGTAATTGCTCTTCAAGAGTTGCTTCAAACAATATTAGAAACCCCAAGCCTGGCCACACCCTGGGTCCTGGATGCTTTTACACTTGCAATATTCATCCAGGACACACATGAAAGGAATCGAGTCCAGGCCTGGCCAAGCCTGGTTTGAATGGCTAGCATGATGCTAGCTGACACATAGACCTCACACGCTCACACACATACACTAAAAGACACAGCAGTGATAGGATGGACACAAAGCTGGACAAAAAGGTTTAGAGGCTCAGAATGGAATAGACAGACAGATGCCGTCAAACAGGAAAAGAGTTAAGAGGTGAGAAAGGAGAGAAGATGAGGTACCTCTGCAGCAGAAATAGCCAGGAGTGACCGTCACTGAGAGACACAAGAGACAACATGAAAACACGCATTCACACCATCCCACAGAAAGAGTCACATACGCACACTCACGTTCTGTTGAAAGGGATAGTTCACCCAAAAATGAAAATTCGGTCATCGTTTACTCACCTTCAATTCGTTCCAAACATGTATTAATGAGAAATTTAGCATATGTCAATCACCTCAAATTGATTTGTGTTTAACGTTACTGACGTTAAATCTAGCATTCCTCATTTACTTGCATTGTATAGAAGAGCAGCTTAAACATTCTTCAAAATATCTTCTTTTATGTTTTACAAAAGAAAAAAAGTCATACATGTTTAGAAAGATGTTTGGGTGAACTTTTCCATTAAGATCTCTTGCTTGGCAACAAAAGGGAATAAACTGTCTACAAACACCATTTTTGGAATATAAATATGCATTAAGTATCTCAAATCAAAATGCAGGAAGTTATGTAAACACGACTGAGCCAGAATTCTCAAAGTGCAACTGATTCATTATGAGCTCCAGGCATGAGGGTGGGGGCCGATTAGAATCAGTGTCACGGTCAGCAAAGCACAGCAAAGCAACAAAGAACCAGGTGTGAGTGAAAAAGAGGAAAAGAGAGGGAAACCAAACTAGTGAAAAAGAAGAATATCCGAACTAGAAGGAGAGAGAAAAACCCAACCTATGTGAGATGATATGGAGCTGCTGGAGTCAGAACGGAAGATTTTAAGTCCTGGATGTTGCACTGGGGAGAGATAAAGAGAGATAGGGGAAGGGGCAGAGAAAGAGAGAGGGAGAGACCTAAGGAACATGCACCATGCACTACAATTGTACAAAATAAAAAAGGAGGATGAGAGGGAGAAAGAGAAAGAAAGGGCCAAATGTGTAGGCCATGCATATAAAAACAACCACCATGGGAAAGAGGTCAGGAAGTCATAGGAAGTGATGGAAGATGAGATGAGCGTGAACTCAGATAGTACTGATAAGATGAGAACACTCATAGAAAAGAATGAATACATGAGTGAAAGATTATGAGATAAATGATAAAAGTATTGAGTGGAAATATGAATAATGCTGTGTCAACAACTCTGTCTGTCAGTGTTGAGCACTTCCTGGAATCAATTTCATGTCCCTAAAGAGCAAGTTTCCTCCAGCTGTTATGTCAGACTTACCTCGACAAGGGTCGTTCTTCACCAGGAATTCATCCAGTGCCATCCACCCTCCTCCAACTCGAACCATGACTGTACTGCGCAGGATTCGTACAAGACGCAGCTGCTGTGAGTCTCCGAACTGAGGAAAAGCAAAGGAAAGAAGAGGAAGAGTGGATAAAGACAGAGAGATAAAGGATTATAATTTCAGAATGTCTTTTAAAGGGCTAGTCCACCCCAAAATTCTGCTCATGTTGTTCGAGGAAAGAACGTGGATAAGAGAGGGAACAGGACAGACAGAGAGATAAAGGATTATAATTTCAGAATGTCTTTTAAAGGGCTAGTCCACCCCAAAATTCTGCTCATGTTGTTCCAGACCATTTTGTGGAAAAAAAAAAAAAAAGTGAAAATTTTTGAAGGACTTGCATTTGTAATACGATTTGCATGAAAGTTCCTCAAAATCTTTCCATTTATGTTCCACAGAAGAAGAAAAAAAAAACACTCAAGTTTGAAATAACATGAGGTTTAGCAAATAATCTGAATTACAATGGGTGAACTATTCCTTTAAGATCATATTCAAATTAGTTAATTATACTAATTATATTATGAAGCACCAGGCAAATCAAAGGAAATCACACTGCGACATGCAGCAAACCACGTTTTTTAAAATCTACATGATTAATGTTAAAGCTTGCCAAGTTCAAATCCCATCTCTACAATAAACACCACACCACAGCAATTCTCTAGAATTTCTCTTTTTTTACTTCAAAGAATTGCTTTGGTTGAAGGTTTATTTTCACTAAGTCAAGAAATCAGCCACTGGATAGTTTTCCTCCACCAAAAGCCAAAAAAGTCATAACAGAAAGCCCTGTAAATCTGAACCATTTCCTGATCATGATAAATCATTTTCAATAAAAAAACAAGCACATCCCAACCACAACACATAAGCTGAACCTTTGAAATTTGCCTCTGGATTTGGAAGGCGTATATAAATGCATTTAATATTTTGGCAATAGTACTGCATTTTTTGTCTCCCAGACAGGAAATGCCCACTGAGAAAGCAGGAAGGCACTAAAGAAATCCCCATTTCAGACAGCAGCCAAGAATGTGGGCTGTCCACAGGGAATTCTTAGCTAGTCCATGCAGAAACTGTCCTGTGTACTGATTTAGATCTGGCTGTCTGAAAAACCCCAGAATAAAAGACCAGCTTCTACAGTGGGAGCTCATGGGAACTGTGCAAAGGCAACAGATTTCAGAGAACATGCCACAAACACACTGTTCACTTTACCTGATTCCCAAGGAAGAACTACAAAAAGTCCGGTGCACATGGAGGAGGAATAAAACAAGAGGAAAGAAAAGAAAAAAAAAAGAGTGAAATAACAGATACAGACATAAACACATTAACCTTTTATTTTGGTATAATGATTCATTTCCTTTTAACTATTCCTAAAGATAGCATACAATGGAGGAAATGCCCATGGGGAGCTTGGTGATTTGTTGCTATAAGCAGGGTAGAGTGCTTGTGAATGGCTGCTTGAAAACAAACACAATGAGGCCACCACAGAAAGTGAAGTAGTAAAAAGACAGACAAAGACGGACAAACATCAGGGTGTGGAGTTAGCATTGTGGATCTGCAGCCTGTGCAATGCAATAAGTTAGTAAACGGTCTTGTCAAAGATCATTAACCAGTGGATAATGATGCTGAGGTATGAAAGACCACTCAGTGATCTTGACTGCAGCAGCCACGTCTGATGGGTTGATCATTAGTTGGGTGTGAAGTGTTATGGTGGTACTGCATACACACACAAAACTGCCAAGGCACCTTTATTCCAAAATGACCAAGTCATACTGATGTAACTGAAAGAGTGTGATGCTGGTTAGAGTCTTAATATTACAATGGCAAGCTCGGGTATGATCGGAATGAGGAGGTGTGGTGATAAAGCAGCTCATTTATGTACCTTTATAAATGTCATATTAAATGCATTTAATTCTTGCTTGATTATTACTATTGGGCACCCGATTCTCACCCTGTACTTGTTCTCTCCAATCTGCTCAACCTGAAACCTCTTGGCACACTTGCACTGGGCCACTTGTCTGGTGACCTGGGATACAAAAAATGTGGATTTAATTCAGCTTAAACACATCAAAAGTTCATTATCATGCCAAATCCACAACATTCGTTTTCTTGTCATCGTCCATACCTCATCTTCGATCTTATCAGCGTCTGTTGTGGGTCTGTAAGCATCTTTGTTAGGGTGCAAAGCAGCCACAAATTCATAGTAGTCGATGTAGCCATCACAATCACGGTCAAAGATATCAGCAACAGCTGTCATCTCCAGCTTGCTGGTAGGAAACTCTGCAAAAAAAAAAAAAAGCATAGTTAAAACTGGCATTTAGAAAAGGTACATGAAAACTAAGATTAGCAGGCAAGTCCATGAGGACGTACTTGATGCCAAGATGCCATCGATAAACTCTTGGCGAGTGATCTTTCCATCCTGGTCCTTGTCGATGCGTCGGAAGAAGTCCATGACTCGAGACTTCTTGTGGTTCATCCAGCGCATGTATTTCTTCCTCCACACATCAAAGTCAAAGTTGGCAAACTCTTTAAGCTGTGAGTGGAGAAAAGTCACGAGTTATTACTTCTACTGTTCAGTTTCCATCATTTTAAATCACTTATTTTACTACTATTACACAGAGTAAAATTAAGAGTAAAAAAAGAATAGTAATAATAATAATAATGTAGTAATAGATGCAATACCTCCTCTAGTCTGTCGAGAGCATCATTCAGCTTGCGCTGGCGATCAAGGGCGAGCAGCCACACTTGTTGCCAGTGGGAGCAGAGCTGGGTGAGGCGAGGGTTACCACCGGTTACCTGTACTGAGTGCTGTTGTTGCTGGTGTTTTCCTGTAAGGAGGGCACAGAAAAGTATGTTCAGAATAGCATACTACTGTACTAAGTGAATTCTGAGGTATATTAGTATGCATACTATGCACAGCATACACGTTTATTGTACATATGGGATACCTTAGTGACTGACTACACAATGCACTGTGCTTGACTTGACCTTAAATTTCTATTTTTCTCATTTGTATCCTTTATAATTGCTTAATCTCTTTCACATCCTATTTTTAAAACATAATAGGCAGTATACAGTATACACTGCACAGTATTAAGCAGTGAGCACAGTTATTGTAGCTCAAATCTACACTTCTGCTCAAAGGTTGCAATAATTGAAATAATATTTCATAACATTTTACTGTATTTTTAATCAAATAAAAAATAAATGCTGCCCAGCATAAGATACTTCTTTTAAAAACATTTTTAAAAAACCATACCAACCACAAACATTTGAACAGTAACGAATGTAAAGGTTTTGTGTTTGTATGCAGCATGAGTGCAGATGAGAATAAAGTCTCTTACGGGCCCCTCTCCTGTCTGACAGGCTGCTGGGATGTTCTGCTGGTTTCCTCTTGTATGTCTTTGTCACTTTGTCAACATCAGGCTGTTTCCGAGTCATTTCTTCCATAAACACCTGATGGAAGAATACAAAACCAATAAGAAACCTCTCAGCACTAAACAATGCAATTAATATTAAAAGGGCCCGCTGATGAATGGAGGTGTCCCGCTCACCTGATGCTCTGTAATTAGTGTCTTCAGTTGAGGAATGTCCTGGGGGAGTGGTTCAGTATCCTGCTGCACCAGTGTGGTCTCCGCCCACTGTAGCCATGACAACAGCTCCTCCAGTAGTGCAGCATTGTTGAGCAATTCAGTCAGAGCCGTCTCCAAGCGCTGCTCGTGCTGTTTGGTCCATGTCAGCACCTGTAGTGCAAATATTATAATATTACATTTGTATTATATACGCACTTCAGACATTATATTAGGTTGAGACATTTGCTTGACTATCATTTATCTAACTTTTGGCCCAGACAGGCTTCATACCTCTTCAAAACGAGCTCTGATGATGGTGATCCAGTGTTTGATGGTTGTGATGCAGTCTGGGTGGCACACAGCTAGGATGGCTTCACCCATGCCAGCAGCTTTATTGACATCCACTCTCTTCTCCTCCACTGTCTGCATGAAATCCCGGTGTGTGTGCAGTAGTGCCTGCAGCGTCTCTACCTCCTCTGGCAGGACGCCCCGGAAGCGCAAAGTTTGCTCTGCCTCCGAAAGCCACTCCAGCAACATCTGAACAGCTGTGCGGAACTCCTCTGCCTGCAGAAAAAGAGACAAAAATAGACAGTCAGAAGAAAATATTTACACTACTCTTGGTTTCATTCAAAACCTAAAAACAGTCAGACGTACCTGTTTGAGGGCCTGCTGGAGGCGAGTCTGTTTTGAAACAGACAGGGCACAGACTGTTTCCCAGCGGTTGCTAAGCTCCTGCAGTTGAACTTTGACCCAGGCGGTGTCGTCCCGGCCCGTCTCCATCAGCTCTCGGGCAGACCGCTTCAGAGCCTGTACACTACTGGTCCTTTTTCCCAGCTCTTTCTGGAAGACCTGAGGAACAATAAATAAAGCACTACTGCTTAAAACTCTGTCCTACACAGAAATGCCTAGTATAAGGTCTAATTCAAGCCTCACTGTGTAAGTGATGACACAATGTGATCAAAAAATATTGAGAAAAAATATTGAATATTAGGTAGTAACTTGTGGAAGCGGTTGCGGTAATGAGAGAAATCAGTCAATATCAAATAAAAATGTTGATTTAAAAATATGCACATTTTCACAATTTCAAGTAACTGTGCTTGACTGTTACTAATCAACTCTCCTAATGGTATTGACATCTTCAGACTATTGTGGTAATTGGTAAAAAAATGATTAAACTGAGTAAAATTGTACTACTTTAATACTCACAGATACTTTACCTTGTTATTAATGACTAAATAGGAAATTTGTTGACGCAAGTCTTTAAAAGCAAGGTTTCCTGAGAATCACCCCATTAGTACCTTATGGGAGTCCATTAGGTTGGAAACAAGATCCAGATCTCCATGGACAGGCTGGTCCTCTGCAAGCTGAGGTTCCACACGATATAGCCAGTCAACAAGTGCCTGGAGAGCCTCAGCAAACTGACCTGAGAACAAGAGGGCTTCCTCCAACTTGTGTTGTCTGAGGAGAAAACATTCCAAATTATTTTCTTTTCTTCACTTCATTCAACATTCAATCATTACCCAAATGGGTGAAGCCATATGGCAGAATTTCTCACCTCTCCACGCTCTTTCCACAAACTGTGTCCCATTTGTCACGGACCTCGCCCAACAAGTTGTCCAGTTTTTGTGTGTCTGCTGGCAGTGTTGCCTTGTCTCTCATGGCCTTCCCAGAGCGCACTGTGGTGTCATACACTGGCTGCTTGGAGCCAAGAGACTTCTGGAACTCCTGCAGTACAGTGATTAACAGATAGAGGGCATGAGAGACAAGTCTAAAAGTTTTCAACTTCACAAAGCATTTTAATGCATGCATGGTGCTGTACCTTATGTTTGGCCAGCTGGATTTTAATCTTGTCAGGCTCATTAGAAATTTCCAACTCAGAGTCCAGCCTGCTCTCTGCTTCCTCTAACCAGTCTGTCAGTTTCCTCCAGGCCTCATGAAACTAGACAAGAGAAGACTACCAACATCAGACAGAGAAAGGCATGAACAGAGCAACATAGACAGAGTGAGGTAAACCAAAAAGTACCTGTTTGGCTCTCTTGCGGGCCTCATCCAGGTGACGTCCTCGGTCTAGTGATCTCTGCACCAGTTTGTCCCAGCGGGCCTGTACACTGAGCAGCAGGTTCTTGATGAGAACCACATCCTGTTTGAGACTGGCAAACCGCAGCTGAGAGCCAGCTTTCTCCAGAGCCAGAACCTGCTCTCTGTGAGTGTTCACCTCATTCACAAACACCTGAAATATACAGGAATGAAAACAAGGACTTACGTTACTCAAAAGTATTAAATTCTTTTACATAAACAGTAGCATTATTCCCCTCTTATCAAAAGCAAAAAATATGTATACTACTTAAGCAAGTCACATTTTCTGACCAACCTTGTGCTCATCTATCTGGAATAGGACGGTGTCGAGAATGAGGCTGGGTGGCTGAGCCATGTTGAGAGTCTGCTCTGCCTGTGTCAGCCAGTTTATGGTGTCCTGCAGGGAGGTCTGGAATCCTGTCGCCAACGAGACGGCTTCCTCCAGTTTATCCTGTGGAAAGAGACGAACACACAGGCAGAGGCATCTTAGGATTGGGAAGCAGAAAAGGATACTTCATTCATCTGTTCATTAATGATCAAATCTGTTATTTAAACATGGATGTAAGGTCATGAATCTGTCTTTGGATCCCTCACCCTTCTGTCATCCATTTTGGTATTGAGACTGGCCCACTTGTTCTGTAGCATGGCCAGGTTTTGCTGGGTCTGGGTGGTACCAGGTCCTGCATCCTCCCCTCCTCTGGCCAGCAGAATGGACTCTCCCTGATCCAGTAGCCGATGGTACTGCTCAGTCCTCTGGGTCAACTGAGCCTGAAGCTCCTACAAACAGGAAAGAGCAGGATAAGTTGATTATATATAACTATATTAAATATAACTAACAGATGAAAAACTTTATCGAATATTAGAAATTTTGGAAACTAACTGAAATAAAATGTTTAAGTAAATTACTAAAACCAATAAATTAAAGCTAAATAGACATGACATAAAAAACAAAACTAATAAAAATGACAAAAGCACAAAATTACTAAACCTTAAACAAAAAATCTCATTCAAAATATTAAAATTCATTCAGCACTGTCAACAAATAACAATATAAAGCAATTAGGTTTTTCCTAATAGAATGCAAAGGCAGTATTTAACATATTACAAATGTTCTTAATTTCATGCAATTTCTTTTTTTCTCCCCAAAATTCTAAATAAATAAATATTTATTTGCTATAATAATAATAATAACAACAACAACATATAAAATAAATGCTCTAATAAGTTGCATATTTGAGAGTGGCTGATATCTAATGAGTGGACTAGAGGTGAACTCATTTTGTGTACCATGTGTTGCTGCAGCTGCTCTCTGGCGGTCTCAGGCAGGCCACCTGTGGGTTTGGCAGCGGACAGCTGACTCTCTGTGCGTCTGAGCCACAGCAGAAACTCCTCCAACTCTCCATGGAAACCCTCCGCCTGACACAGAAACCATGCAGGGGAAAGACAATGAGCTAATTGATAGGACACCTGTACTACAATATTAAAGAGAACCATTCTCGCTGCACAGCAACCCTTCAAACGTGCAAATTATGCATTTCAGGCTACAAACATATGCAGATGCACTTGTTTTTTTAATGGTGCTTTCAATCAGATCTTTCTGTATAATGATGCAGTCGTAATATCTAGAGCACCTGTTGCAGGGCAGCTTCCAAAAGCTTCTGCCTCTCATCAGTCTTCAGCAGAAGGTTCTTCCAGCTGCGGTTGAGCTCATCCAGCTGGTCTCTCAGGTGGTTGATTTCGTCTCCAGGACTGGACTCCAGAAGCTCAGAGCCTGCACTGTTCACCGTCTCTACTGTAGCCCGATGGGACAGCACGTCGTTTCTTAAAACCTACAAAGACAACTTGATTAAAGGAAACTGCTTTAAAAAGGAAATAAAAAAGTAGAGTACATAAAAATGTCCCAAATATGCCATACATGATGCTTAGCCAGCTCAATTTCGATGGCCTTGGGGTCAGAGCTGATGGGTCGCTGGGTGTCCAGTGTGGCGTGAGTGTGACTGAGCCAAGACTGCAGCTCAGAGAGAGCATGCTGGAACTGACCTAGAGCCAACAGTGCACCCTCCAGTTTGTGCTGAGAGAGAAGACAGAATCAAAATACAATCAAGAGTAAGAGCATTTCCTGTCTACCCTCTAAAATGCAGTTGAATTGAATTTAAATTGATTTGATATTAGTTTTCACATTTCATTTTACAATACCAATATTGAATAATGAGTTAAATATTTTATTATTAGTATTATTAATACATTCATAATTCAATCATAATTCATTAGCCTAACTGTAGGCTGCTTTATGGAGCATTAAACTGAGGTTATCAATGTGTGTTTGTCTATATTTTACAATGCTATTGAACATGGCTCATCTGAATTTAGAGTCTTATAAGTCATTGTTTTGTAAAAGCAAAAGTAGACTGAGATAAGAAAATGGTCTGTATTTCCACACCTGTCTGATTGTGATTTTGTCCACCAAGTTATCCCACAGGTGGCGTAGCTCAGTGAGAGGCTCCTGAATCATGTCTCGGTCTGTTTGGTCGCTCACTTTTTTGAGCAGCAGCTCTCCTTGGTGGCAAAGCTTCTCCATGTCAATCTGTTGCTGGTAAACTTCCACTTTATATTGCTGTGTCATGTAAAATGAAAAAGGGTCAATCTTTTTCTCAACGTGATTTTAGAGATAAGAGTAGACAATGTCTGATTCGAACCTTGAGCTCCTCGATCTGTTGTTTAACAGTGCTGAGGTCTGTCCCTACAGCTGGCATGTCACACAGTTTGATGACAGCATTGTCCAAGTAGTCAAACATGCCCTGTGGAGATATAAAGCAATGATCGTGAACACACAGTTGGCTTGACCAATCAGGGCAGATTTTGTGGTACCAATAGTGTGATAGACACCTGAAGAGCATCCTGGTACAGCACAGAGGCAGTCATGGCCTCTTCCAGTCTCTCCATTCTCTCTCTCCACGTGCGGTTCAAGACTTCCCAGGCTGCATTCATCTGAGTGTCAAAGGACCAACATAAAATCAACAACAGGGAGATATTCTGTGTAAATGTGAGTGAAATAGGGTGTCCCCTACATGGCTTATCACTCTTCTAGACTCTTACCTCATCGATGGTCTTCTTGACCTCTGGTTTCTCAGTCTCTCCGCAGGCAAAGATGAGGTCAGCTCCAAGTGTTCGTACGATCTCCAGTTCTTCCCTCAGCCCATCTGTCTCTTGCTTAATGGCCTGAGTGTGAGACAAAAACATCATGACTACATTCTCTTGAGATCGTTGTCTTGACACAATATTATGTAGTTTGATCTACTCTAAAATCCCATTAAGGAGTGTTTTATTAAACTGCACACGGCTCCCTATATTAGGCTATTCACAGTTTTTCTGCTGTAATTATGACAAAGCTGATTGTTTTCGATCTTTTTTTTATTAACTGTAACTGAACAAAGAGCTTACATTTTGCTCTTCAGTTCCAATAATCTATTCTTCAATTAAAAACAACAGTTATTAAGGGGGGAAAATATGCTGTTATTTTATTATTAATTATTTTATTATATTATAATATTATACAAGAAATAACTTTCAGTTTACATATTGATTTTATTTGCTTTTAACAGTTCCCTTGTAATTTTGCTGATGCCCCCTAGTGGTTGCGAACCACTGATCAATACAGAGCTTCTTTAAGACTGATTAGTTGACTAGCCATTTAGGCATCCTACAGACGAGTCAGTTTTGAAAATATGCAGTTTTTGTACATCCCCACTGAAAATTAGATTAAACCAAAAAAAAACATCATGTCTTGCTAGTGACTCTCTTGTTGGACTGACCTCGGCTGCCTCTATTTGTTGTTTTATAAGTGAAGGATCCACCCCTGGGTCCTCCAGATCTTTCACAATATCCTGAGAGTCACGAAGTGTGCTCAGCAGAGCGGCCATGTCGGCCCAGAACTTTCCGGCGAGATCTAGAACATCCTGAAGCTTTCCTTCTCTTTCCTCTGCCCTCTGCCTGATCTCATCCCACAGAGAACGCAGCCGTAAGAGTCGCGAACGCACCGCTGAGGATGGGAACAGATTACAGATTTACCAAAACATATAGGATAAAGCGCTTCATACAACCATATAGTGTCATTTCAGATCAAAGATCTTTACCCTGGGCGGCAGGATCGTCGTGTGGGGCGCGACCGATGAGCTCTTCTCCTCGGGCACACAGGGCGCTGAAAGATGGAAGGAGTTTGTCCAGCTCTAGTCCTGTAACCCGGTGCTCTGCAAGTTGCTCCCGGATCTTCTCCACCTCAGCCGCCACTGGAGGTGGCTGCCGCAAGCGTTGAACTGCACCTTCCAGAGTCTCCAAAAGAGGGTCCATCTTATCGTGGAACTGAATGGAGAGAAGGAATACAACAATCAGAACAACTACAGTACACAAAAGTAACTGTAGAAGGACCAGGCATAAGGAGGAGAGAACATTTATCTCAGACACATGCTAAGGGGTAGAGGAAGTTGGTGCTAAATAATAGGAATGCTTTAGGACAAGTATTACAGAATACACCACAGAATATTGACACATTCATCATGCATGGACGCATCTGAAACCTGTATGCTACTTTTTAAAGTGGAAAGAAATGAATTTTTTTTTTTTTACAATTTTGTATTAACATTTTTTATTTAAATGTATTTGGTGTATTGGTATTACACAGTACTTGTACACTATTATTTGGAAGTTTGGGGTCAGCAAGATAGTTTTTTTCCCCTTTTCTTTGAAGGAAGTACTTTTATTCATCTAGGATGCATTAAATTGATCAGTGACAGTAAAAACCTTTATAATTCTACAAAAGATTTCTTAAACTTTCTATTCATCAAATAATCCTGAAAATGTTTCACGGTTTCTACATAAATATTAAGCAGAACTGTTTTCAACATTTATAAAAACAAGAAATGTTTCTAGAGCACCAAATCAGCATATTAGAATGATTTCTGAAGGATCATGTGACACTGAAGACTGGAGTAATGGTGCTTTAAATTTTAAAATATACGAAAATAGAAAACACTGATTTTAAATTGTAATAATATTTCACAATATTACTTGTTTACTGTATTTTTGACCAAATAAATGCAGCCTCGTTGAGCATAAGAGACTTTATTCAAAAATATTTAAAAATCTTACAGACCCCAAACTTTGGAATAGTAGTGCAAGAAAGTTAACTTTCAGTTTATCTGTCTCATACATGAAGGCAAATCACTTTTTGTTAGTTGGTCTGCATAAAAACTTCTGCTAAATACCTTAATGCAAATGAAGAAGATATATTTCAAAATATAACAGCTTCTTTCAAGATGTTCAAAATGGTAAAGGGAGCAGGTTAAATGTGAAATTTGTACGATTTACATACTTTTAAACATAAGAAATTAATTGAAATATATATTTAATATTTTGTCCATCTTCTGTTACTAATAAGATACTGTCTATAGGCCAACCGATGTAAGCTAAAACTAGTTTCAACAGAGTGATATAAAATATTCTGGATTAAAGAATTCCTGAAAATTCCTGATTCTCAATCCTATACAGGCATTATACAGCAGTTAAATCAGTGGGTGATGATGCTCTTACCTCTACCAGCTGAGGGTGTTGCAGAGAGCAGTGATGATGGAGGGATGGACACACACAGCACATCCACAAACATGAGTGATGGGTGGACGGATGGACCAAATGGACATGGAAGGGAGAAGTGCAGGGAATGTTCAAGGGAAGAGTTGCAACAAGCAGGAAAGGGGGAAGTTTAGGGGATACAGGATATGGAAAGGAGAGTGTGACAGGATATGGGGCACAGGAGTGGGACAGGTGGCATCACAGTAGAGTAGAGTTTGAAGGAATGGAGGTGGAGAAACAGTACAATGTGTTAATTCAACAACATGCAACAGACCAGCAGGACGAATCAATAACACAAGCATTAAGCCAAAATGCAGCTGATGATGTCAGATGTCAGTGATGTTATTTAAAAAAAAAATGCCTTAGTCTGAAACAATGATTAATTAAAGGTGATGCGTGTCATTTTAAATAGCTTAAATATACTTGTGTGTTCTAAAAAACATGATGATGACACAAAATGAGTTGATATTGTGCTGTGTAATGCTGAACTATGGGCTGTAACAAGCTGGGCAGCAGTCCTAAATAAGCATTCTAACATTTTGCAGCAAATACCTGGACAGACTGTGACACGGCTTCATCCAGTGCTGTGGCTTGACCTTTGACCTCCTCTTTGATGCTGAGGTAACGTCTCTCTGCTTCATTATAACGTTGTCTCAATGTTGCCCCTTCCTGGGCACTGAGTTCTGCCAGCTGTGGACCGATCTTTAGCAGTTTATCTATGTGAGGCTTGTGCTCAGCGATGGACTCTCTCAAAAGCTAGTCAGGAAAACATATGAAACATGTCATGTGATGTTAATACATATGACATCAAATAAGTTTTGTGGGTCTTAGTCCATGTCTATTGGTGCATTCAAGTCCTCCTGGGAAGTGCATATTTACGAGTTGGGAAGTCGGAATTACATCAGGAGCAAGATGGCAATGCCATGCATTTTTGCTCTTTTATATTTTTATTCAATTCATTAAGAGGCTGTAAGGTGAATCATTACATATCATAATTGTACAATACTATGGTATTTTTGTGCACTGACACGCCCTGAACTCAGAAACTCTGATTTTAAAGAAAATCCAGAGAAAATCCTCACTTGTAATTAAGACTTGTGGTGACGTTCATATGCGTTCAACACATAAATACAATGTTCCCGACATGACTTGAATGCATCATATAACCACGAAGGAGCAAAAGGGACTCAAGCCCTTTGTCTGCATACTGCCCACTCACCCTCATCTGGTCTTGCTGTTGTCTGAGTGCTTCTGTGTCAATGGCGGGAGGGGCTTGCTGGGTAATCAGAGTCTCGGTCTCACCCAGCCAGGGTTCAAGTTCCTCATACGTCTCCCAGAACCGTGCTACCAGGACCTGAGCCTGCTCTAGAGCTGAGAAGCGCTCAGCATGACTCTGATTTACTGCTTCATAACGAGCACTTAAAGAGTCTGTCTTCACCTACAGGAAGAAGAAGAAAGAGGTTTTATCAGGTCAACCAAATTAATCTGAAAAAGACTGATAAAACAAGCCTGCACTTTTGTTTGACCCAAATATGACTCAACAAATTAAATCTCCGCCAGAATATGCATGAATAACATCAATTCGATTTTCCTGATGTAACCTTTCACAGAGGAATAATTACATAGCTTGTTCTGCCCCCTCCCCTCTCTCTCTTCTTTATTTTGTCTCTAACCTTCAGAGCCTCTCTCTGCTGTTCACTACAGCTCTCCAGGATGTCCTCTCGTGTCTTAAGGAGTTGGTCCACAGTATCTTTGTGACGAATGATGTCGATGTTAAAGGCTCTTTGCACCTGGAGCTGTGCCACAGTCAAATCAGGCTCCAGACTCAGAGGCCCCAGAGACGCCAACTTCCTCTCGGTCTCTCCGACCCAGGTCAGCTCTGCATCAACTGCCTCCTCATACTGAAACAATAACACACACAAATACACTGTCAAAAAAAAGAAGTATGACGAAAATATTTACACATTCAAGAAGGCAACATGGACAGAGGATCCTAAATCAAATGTTGCTTAAGCAACAACTTCTTTTTTATATTAATAATATTTTAAAATGTATGTTAAAGTTGCAAATGTACATTTTAAATTTATTATAACCATTTGTATTTACTTTGAAGTATTACATCATTTTAAAAAGAAAAAAAGACATATTATAAAAAAAAATTGAAATTACATTTGAATTTTCCTAAAAGAAAATACCAATGCAAGGCAGGGAAAGAATAATGTTAAGTTCTAAGTAAGTTTAGGTTTTGCTTCTGTGTTAATCATACATATATACATATATATATATATACATACATACATACATACATACATATCCGCTTGGCGGTAGCGCTGATTGGCATCGGCGACCAGGCGGTCCAGGCCTTCCCGTGCACACCAGGGCACCAGATCCAGTAAAGCACTGCCCACCTCATTCACTGTGTCCAGAACTAACCTCTTCTCAGCAGACACGCACTTCAGCTCCTGAGCCAAACATACACACATTATAAAACAATGAATTCACAGAAGGCATAAAAATATTGTAAAAAAAATTTATTTGGTTTAACAAAAACAAAAAGTAAAAAGTGATTCATGAGTACTTAAAAAAAGATAGACATCCTCACCCTCTGTCTGTCCTGATAGGCTGGTGTTGTGTCTGGCTCAATGTTGTTAAGCTCCGCCTCCACGCTATCCAACCATTGGCTGATGTCATCGTGTGAGCTTGCAAATCGCGTGGCCAACTGAAGGGCCTGTTCCAAAGTACGGAGGGCTTTGCTGCTGCCCGCTGTCATCTCTGCGTAGCGGCTTTTGATGCACCAGATCCAGTAAAGCACTGCCCACCTCATTCACTGTGTCCAGAACTAACCTCTTCTCAGCAGACACGCACTTCAGCTCCTGAGCCAAACATACACACAATATAAAATGCACTGAAGACATAAAAGAAATTCATTTGGTTTAGCAAAAACAGAAATAGGTGTGTATGGTCTAAAAGAAAAGAATGAAGTAAAAAGTAATTCACAAGTACTTAAAAAAATAAAACAGTAGACATCCTCACCCTCTGTCTGTCCTGATAGGCTGGTGCTGTGTCTGGCTCAATGTTGTTAAGCTCCGACTCCACGCTATCCAACCATTGGCTGATGTCATCATGCGAGCTAGCAAATCGCGTGGCCAACTGAAGGGCCTGTTCGAGAGTACGGAGGGCCTTGCTGCTGCCTGCTGTCATCTCTGCGTAGCGGCTTTTGATGTCATCTAGCTTCTCTTGAATCAACAGGACCTCCTCACCTGTCACAGAGATCAAATATGATCATAATCATAAGAGGAATTTGGTGATACACCACTGAACATAGAGACTGGATGGAAAAGTACCAGTAGTTTGTTTAAGCAGAGCCTGTCCATTCTTAATGGCTTGGTCCACTGTCTTCTTCCTGCTGATAATCTCTTCATTAAGAGCCTGTAGGGCACCAGCAATAGAAACATTAACTCTGAAAAGAATTCAAGGGGATGCTACGTAATATAAAATAAAAAATAAATAACATTAGTATATGCACTTCTTTACATTATTGATTCAGAATATCATGCGATTGATTTGATTACAAATTTTAATTGACTGACAGACCTAGTGTGGCTCTGACCACACTTAGTGACAGTTTGTTTTTGAGGCGAGGGCTGTTTAGCAATATTCATGTTCTCTGATTTATCCGGTATACTGACTTATATGGTATTGTTGATCCTGGGCAGCTCTGCACTGCAGAATCATACCAGTGTGTGTTTGTGTTGCTGCTCTAGTAGCTCCGGCTGATAACTCTGCACTGAGACCTCAGCCAGTCTCTGCGCCACCTCAGCTAGCCAGTTAAGGACTTCCACCTCTTCTTCTCCAAATAGCTGTGCATTGGCCAGGGCCTGCTCCAGCATGGCCTCTCTCCGATTGCACCAATCATGCAGCTCCGTGTGCCCGTTGCGCACTGCCGCCACACGTTCACCCAGCCAATCACGATCAGCCGCACAGCTGAGCGGGTGCAGTGATTGACTGAGAGTCTCAAGATGGTCTACATCATTCTCCCGAGAGGATACCTCCTCTTGGAGAGCCTGGGATTATAGCCCAGAGTGAAGAGGAGATATGATTGAATGAGTAGGAGGAGAAAAAAAAGACAAGGCAAACATAAACAAACATGACAATGCAGAATAATGACAAATTATAATTAAATGATGTGAGCAAAAAATAATATGTGGATCAACACAAGATGAGATGGGGAAAAACAAGATAAAAAAAAGAAACCATGATAAAATTAAACTGCAAAATGGAAAGGATGACGACCTGAATTTTGTGCCTTCTTGGATAACTGCACTCCTACTAGTCCATTTAAAACCACAGGAGACTGACAATCTGTTCTCTCCTCTGCATCTCTAGTCAGTCTAATGATGCTTGACACTTTGAAAATCACTTGCTAAAATGACAGATCTTGGTTTGGCAGCAACATTTCTGGTAGTCTTATCCTCAGCAAACTGCCAGGATACAACTCTCCCAGCTGCTGTGTATACTCTACCTTGTGCCTTACAATCTGCTGTGTGATTTTGGAGGTCTGGGTTCCCATTGGCTCAGTGGAGCTCAGACGTCTCTCTGATGTGCTCAACCACTCACCAAGTGGCTCCACTGCCTCGTGGAACTGCAGCGCTAACACCTGCAGCTCCTCTAGCTGCCGCTGCCTGAGGACATGAGGTGAGGAGGAAATCTGTGTTATATTCTTATGACTACTCTGTTTTTATGGCCTTGTAAAGCAACCAAGTGATTGAGTTCTGAGTAAGAGATTCAATTAAGAGATTTTATGGTTGTGTCTGGGTGTCCATATTGCTCTACTGGAGTTTACCTGGCACTGGCCTTTTCCAGCAGATTTGTCCATCTCTCTCCTAGGCTCTTAAGTTGTTTCTGGATTTTGTCTCTGTCTTGTGTCTCGGCCGTAGCAGCGATTCGCTCTCCTTCTGCCCTGATCATTTCTACTGTCCCAAGGCGGTCATCCAGTAACCGTTGCAGCAGCTAGGAATAATATGGAATCTCAGTAAGCAAATCTAAATGATTTTATTATCTAGCATAATAAAAGTCTAATTAGTAATTAAAAGTAGCAAAGTCTAATTAGTTTGATAAAAAACATCAACGTGCCTTTTGTCACAAATTGGATATAATATAAATAAATATAATATAATAATAAATATAATTTTAGGTTTTAATAAAATATTGCAAGCCATTATAAAAACTGATTAAATTAAAATTGGATTAAAATCTAACCTTTTGTTCCTGAATTTGTGCTTTGACCACACGGTACTCAGCAGACGGAGGTTTCTGATTGGCTATGAGCTCCTCTGTGTCACTAAGCCAGCTCAAGAGTGGCTCCAGAGCATCTTGGAACTTCCCACAATGCAACAGGGCCTCCTGCAGCTGTGCGATTCTTTCAGCAACCTGTGAATAAAAAAATAAAAAAAAGAAATCTTTAATATATAATTAATCAATTTCTATAAGTCCACAGAAAAAAAAAAGAGGCTAAAAATAGATGCAAGCTTACCCTCTTGTTGAGGGAGTTCCAGCGCAGGTTGGTGGTCTCCAAGTCATGTTCCAGGCCCTGAGTGTCAGTGTGTTTAGCTGCACTCTGGATAAGACCTTGACCCACAGCGTTGACATGTTGCAGTTTAGGCTGAATGCTGTCTATCTGCTCCCTTTCTACGGCCTAAAGAGTGAGTGAACGAACAAACGACTTGAACACATGAGAACAAATGACTTGAGTATGTTACTGGACATGTGATATGATAGAATGTGTCTAAACGGGTCAAGGCTGTTCAAACACAACATGATAATGGTGGCATGAGCATTTATAAGTGGAGAAGCATCACACTTTGACTGAAATTAAATACAGGACCTTGGCAGCAACACTGTACAGCTCTATTTCCCCAACAGCCCAACACTACAGCTGTGACAGAATATCCAACACAGTGGTTCACCACATACAGTTTGCCAAATACCCCTAACCAACACCATGACCAGCAGTTACCAAAGAGTAGTTTGAAGTCAATCCATTTTAATTTCGTAATGTGACTTATCACAAAGAAACAGAATATTCAGCAGGAAAAGTACTTTCTTGCAATCATTTGGAATTGAATGGATCACAAAAAGTGGGCATTATATACCAGAATGGATTTGGACCTCGATGCAACTTCATGGGGGATTGTTCAATTTCACAACTGACCCACAGTCAGCACTAGGGATGCACCAAAATTCAAATTCTACTCTATACCAATAAGTCCATCATTATTTTCATTTTTATGGCCGATATTAAAATGTTATATTATAGGTGCATCTGAAATCACATTCCGTCTGAGTAGGTCCTACAATAAAGGAAGAATGAAGTTCACAACCAATAAAAAGTATATAGCATGAATGATATTTGGATGTACTAAATCTGCTATGTTGGCTTTGTTATGTGACCTTTGGCATCAGCATCACTTCACTGCCATCTACAACTTCTCTCCTGTGGCCTCATGGGATATTGAAGTGTTGACTGGATGTGCATTCCAAAAACCCGCTGGAAATAGTAAGTCACTTGGGTAGTTTTCTCCTACTCATTTAATAATACTAAGAATACTCGAACACCTTATCCTTTTATGTATGGGTTTCTTCGGATGCAGCATATTTTGTCTAAATATAATAAAAATAAAACACTAAAAACTAAAACCAATAATTTTAAATGCTTTAAAGTAAATGTAGGCATCCCAATATATAATGTACAGTATGATATAAGATAAAGAATAAAATTTAACAGTGTTATTCAATTTTTAGTTTAAAAAAATTTACCAGAGTTAGATGATGGCAAAGGTAATCCAACTGTAAAGCTAAGGGAAACAAGCATGTACAATTAAATAAAATCCAGAATCCTTTCCGTGTGAGTGTGTGTTCATTTGTTTGCTGCTGTCTTGTGGCGTGGGGCTTCATTCCTGCTTCAAACAGGATGTCTGTCAGCCTCAAAACAATGAACCACAGCTTCAACCTGCTCCACCCTCTTGACAGTATATGTGACTGTGAGAGTGTACGTGTCTATGAAACAAAGAGAGTGTTTGGTCCCCTTTTGTCTCTCTATATCCTGTCTAACATTATCCTAAATCCATCATCTAGGCCCCCTCCTCCTCCTTATCCTCGGTGTGTATACTTGGAGCCATTTCCCGTTTTAATCCTGATCATTCATCACATGTGGCACTTTTCACTCACCAGAAATAACACCATTCGTCTGCATCTGTGGCAGTTCTTTCACAATTCGTGTGGGCAAATCAAAGGGACAGTTATATTTTATAGACAATTATATATCTACATATTTGTGCTACAACCAATAATTCACAATAGGAAGAGAGGAAGTTTAGTTTGTCAGACCTCTGAAATCTAAACAAAGATGATGTCCACAAGTAGAACGTAGCTATACATATCCATCCATACAACAACAGAAAGAGGTCAGTGCAAAAAACAGTCTCTCCTCTTTACTCTTTCTCTCAGAGAGCATTTGACTCTTGTAATGCAGACCTCTGGAAAATATCTAGGATGCCTGTCATTCCACTCAAACGCTCTCGACCAATCTGGCCAGCAGGCTGGTCACTCACACATACACACACACACACACACACACACACGACCGACCGCTTGACACGTATCTCTCCAGCACACTCGGTTTCTTTTATCACCAAACTTTAAACTCTTTTGTTTCTCACTCGAACCCCCACAGATCATTTTTAGCTACTGGCAGTACTCCATCCTACCGCCAACCCACAACATCACCGCCAGTGGAGTCTTTTGTTTCTCTCTCTTCAGTTCAAACCACAACTCCATTCTGCCTACTCTTCCTGCCTAATGCCTTTAATGAAATGTATGCCCACATTTCATTAAAGAAAATATTATAATATCTGGGTAGGAGTTTAGCGATATATCCCCCACACTATGTGCTGATTTTTGCTGAGCTTTCTAAACCTTGTTCTGCATCTGAAAGCATCAAGAGAAATTATTCTCATGCAATTTTTGCTAAAGGCAAGATAAAATCAATCAGACTAAATTAGAGTACCAGTCAAAAGTTTGGACAAACCCAAATAAATGTATGGTTCTCATTATCTCAAAGGCCTTTTGACACATCTTAAGTTGTGCTTATGTATGAATTTCATACAAAACAGCTCAGCTTTTTTAATGAATGACTCAGAATACAACAGTTTTGATAAACACCTTTTGGTTACTGCATATTTCCCATAATTCCATTTGCGTTATTTCATAATTTGGATGGCTTTATTATTACTATTTTGAAGAGTATCTTCTGCCTGGTACTGTATTTGAAATTTCTGTAGTGCTGAGTGGGAAAAAAAATGCATGCATGCAACAATGCCAGACATAATGTAGGCTACACATGTCTTGAATGATTTAATGGAAACTTCAAGATATATTTTTTAAATGTTCAACAAATATAGCATAGGCATGTAATTTCCTCTTCAAAGCATAATACTCAAAGCATACAATAAGAAATTCAAGGCTATAAATGTCTAAAAACAGCAAAAAACAAATAAAAGTCTATCTTGTCTCGAGGGACAAGTAGAGAACATCTTAGATGTAAAATTTCTGGACATCCCAGGAAATCACAGGAATATGATTTCTTTCAAATCAATGAAAACATGGCTGTTAGCAAATTTCTTGTTCTATAAAGACTTTCCAAAACTCTCTCTCCAGTCCTACTCTTCCTGTCTTTGCTTTCACCTCCTGTGTTTTTCTGTCCTCTCAGTTCCTTGTCTTTACCTCTGCTTCCTTTTCAAAGGACTTCAGATGACTTCATTTTATCTGACCCAAATGTCCTAACAAGGATATAATTCACATGGTTCCATTAATAAATACTGAGCAAATGAGGTTAAAAACATAGTCAATGAGTTCACAGCATATGTGACTGCTTTGTTATGGCTGTCGTTGTGCCGACGGGGCTGCAGGGTTTGTTTAAGCTCTTTTGTTTGCAACAGTCTTTTATCACAGGTGTTTCCCGCACACTGTCTTTCACTGGCATCATTATCCAAACAATCAAATATACCCATTGTTACCATATGCCATAACATCAGTGCTCACTCCCTCTCTGATTGCTCTTCCCTTTCCACTGTGCGTATCAGTTGGTGCGTCTGTTTACCTGACCATCTCTAAAACTCTACCCTGGACAGACTCAAAATTGAGTGTGGGTTTCAGATGTTACGTCAGACGTTTCTTCTGACTCCTCTTATTGCTCATGCAGCTCTTATTTTGAGTACTACCAGGTGTTCTGCCATAGAGACTCTGTTCATTCATGATCAGGCTGTTGCAAAATCTTCTAACTTTACCCTCTGAATCAGCCTCCATTGCAAGTGTGCAATTTCACTGGAGACAGCCCGTAACGGAGAGCTGGTCCAAAAGATTACAAAGATCTTTTCCAAGGTTTCGGGCATTACAGGGACGAGAGTCTGGCCCTGCACTGATAGGACTGACATGCCCTTATCATCTATTTATATTTCCAACAACTTTATACAGTGTTTGTGTGTTACTGGCAAATGTGGCTCCTCTTATAGAGGCTGATGTTTATTTCTCACTTCCTTATCTTAATTGCAGTACCATCAGACTGCAGGGCATCAGGGTTTCTGCATCTGATGGGATAGGGAGTTTTGAGAGTGACCTTGCAGAAAGGCAGATTTGGCCAAGGAAGAGGGTCAAATGAGATGTGGATGACCAGTCAGACTGATAGAGACCGTAATGCAATAACTATCCAGTGAGCTTAAGAACTAACAGGCAGTGTCTCGGCCACCCGCCACTGTCACTGTGAAACAGAGCAGACACCGGCCTTGTCACGGCAGCCGAGAGAGAATGTCAAGCGCACTCTCACATACACAGTGTGCTCACTTAGACAAAAGCAGTGCTCAAACAGGCAAAAAAGCAAACACATGCAAATGTGTGCTCAAACCCATTTGTCTGTAACCAAACACACAAACGTTCACTAGGCTTTGACTACTTTGGAGTAAGCATGCTTTTTAACTCAGTGAGCATGTTTGTGTTCATATGATCACCACTGCAATAGACAAACAATCCCAGGATACATATACATATCATGCACTCAAAGTTTTCTGCCTATATAGACACCTGGAATCATTCCAGACTATAGTAATTATGTGTATTAACATTTAAAAACATGGATTAACCATTTGGGTCCCCATGAACAAAAACGCACACATCACTTCAAGCTAAACACAAACACACTTTTAAGGACCAGAAGGATCAATGATGGAATATAGTGGAAGATTAACCCATTCACTGAGTACTTTGATCAGACAGTTTACTACATACAATATTGTGCACAATTATAATGTAAAATAGGACTAAAAGTGCACTAGGGTAAAAGGCACATTTTATTTTCTAGATAATGCGAAATTTAAACCACAGCACTTTCCTAAACATTCGAGTTTCACAACGCACATGGAAATTTGGCTGATCCTTGATGTGATCACGGGCAGCAACACAAAGTTGATTCAATGCTAATTTGATCTAAAATGTAACGTTTCTTGAAATGTTTTAGATTTATGTAGCAAATAAGAATTGATAAAATGACAGAATATATATTGAGACAAAGACCTTGGAAATAATTTTTGTACAAGGTAATTAAATCAACAGAAATCTACTGTGAAGCTATTATCAATGATTATG